TAGAGTGCCTTTTACTCAAAGTGAAATATTTATATGTGCATTGTCATTCGTCATATTGTTTAAATAATAATAATTTAAACCATTATTTAAATAATAATTTAAACCATGTCAGCCACTGCTCAGTATGTTTCAGGTACTATGTCATTTAAACATCTCACTGACTCTATGACAAAGATACTACATATTTTATCTTCAGTTTAGAAATGAGGTAATTAAGCCCCAGAGAGATTAATTTCTCCGCCAAGGTCCTATAGTTAAAAAGCAGTAGGTCAGAGATTCAAACTCTGGGAAAGCAGCTTTAGACTCATGCTTAGGTATTACACAGTAGGACTGTATTAGTCTGTTCTCGTGCTGCTAATAAAGATATACCCAAGACTAGGTAATTTATAAAGGAAAGAGATTTAATGGACTCACAGTTCCACATGGCTGGGAGGCCTCACCGTCATGGTAGAAGGCAAGGGAAAAGTAAAGACACAACTTACATGGCAGCAGGCAAGAGAGCTTGTGCAGGGGACCTCCCGTTTATAATACCATCAGATCTCATGAGACTTCTTGCTACCAGGAGAACAGTATGGGGGAAACCACCCCCGTGATTCAGTCATCTCCACCTGGTTCTGCTCTTGACATGTGGGGATTATTACACCTCAGGGTGAGCTTTGGGTGGGGACACAGCCAAACCATATCAAAGATGTAAGTGCTGCATACATTTTTAGCATGTGTACTATATACAGTACAATTTCATTTTTTTTTCCTATTTTTTATTGTGGTAAGTGCAAATAAGATAAAATGAACTATCTTAACAATTTTTAATTTTACAATTCAGTGGTATTAAACACATTCATTTTCTTGTGCAGTCATTTCCACCATCCATCTCCAGAGCTCTCTTTATCTAGCAAAACTGAAACACTATACCCATTGAACAGTAATTCCCCATTCCCTTCTCCTCCCAGCCCCTGGCCAGTTAACCTTAAATAATAAGTTCAGAAAATGTGATTAAATATAGTTTATTCCAGCTCAAAGCCTGAGGATAGCCACCAGGGAAACACCAACTCCTAGCAAATGGGGTCAGCTTTCCAAAGTGGGGAAATTAAGGTTTCACTTACATAGGCAGAGATAGAGAAGGTTAACAGGGTTGTAACATTTTCCATATAAGGCCAGCACAGATGTTACCGTAATTTGATTGGTTACAGTTTGCTAAGTTCCAAGGAAGGGGAACATTTAACATTCCAGAAGGAGGGGTAATGGTCTTGAGGGGTCTTATTTCTGGAACCATTTGGTCTTTTCTAATCGTTTACAGGACAGGAATGAGGAAGAGATTTAATCTATAATCGGAGAAGCAGAAGTTGCAGCTGCATGTCCCATGACTCCGGCCATATAACACATTTCTCTCAAGGCTCAAAATAGTTTAAAGTTCCAGCCATTTTAGGTTTGAAGTATTTAATTTCACACCACCATCATTCTGTTTTCTGTCTCTATGATTTGGGATACTTTAAGAACCTCATGCGAGTGAATCATATAGTATTTGTCTTTTTGCAGTTGGCTTATTTCCCTCAGTATAATATCCTTAAGGTTCACCTCTTGTTGCATGTATTAGAATTTTCCCCTTTTTAAGATGGATATTCCATTGTATGGGTAGAGTACATTTTGCTTCTTCCTTCATTCGTCAAGGGGCGCTTGGCTTACCTCCACATTTTAGTGACTGTGAGTAATGCTGCTAGGAACGTGGTTGTAGTTTCTTTTTTAACATCTACTTTTACTCATCTCTAGAGTGCTCCTGATTTAGTTTCTAAAAATCTCTTATTTTAATTTTATATCAAAAGTATTCCTTATCATAAGTAGATTGAAATTATTTTCTAAATGTGACCGCATTTCAAATCCTAGTTCTGTTGCTGGCTAGTTGAGTGACCTTCAGCAAGTGATGGAAACTGTCAATGACTGTTTCCTTAACCACAGCATTTAAAGGCACCCACAACTACCTCACATGGTAGTCAGGAAGTTTAAATGAGAGGATACTCATAAGGGAGAAGGCACATCCATATTTTACTAGTAAATGTTCAAGAAATATTGATTCCAATTACACACGCCCACGCCCATACAGATAAGGGTTAGCTCGTGGGTTCCGGAGGAGCAGCCTCTTAGGTATTCAAGAACATCTCATCGGGCTCCTCCATTCTGACCTTCTTGCCCGCATGCCTTGCTGCTGCCCTGCTGCTGACACTGCCCTCCCGAGATCCTTATTCTGCCAGCTGCAGCTGTCTCAGCCTGTGACAGTCACTGATGGCCTTATGGTGGGGAGAGGGCTCCCTAGTCAACCCCAGTGCAGTGGAAACCAAGCTGTGGCTTTCAGCAAGACTTGACAAGGACTGCAGCTAACAGAAAGATTACACTGAGAGAAACCTGCAACTGCTTCCTGAAATAGTCACTCTTCAAGACCAGGCAGGAGTCCAACCCCTGAGACCCTGCCGAGCTCCCAGTGAAGCCTCCCATGGTTTTTCAACCCTACTGTCATTAATGAGGCTACTCAGGCATGACTGGGCATTTGAATACAAGCAAAACCTCCTCCAGGTCCCAGAGGAAGAAGTTCTTCATCACAAGCCCTACCTCAGCTCCTACAGGAGGAACATTTGCTTCTCAGGCCATTTGATAGTACAAACGTTAAATCCTTTAAGGAGGAAATTCCTAGCTTAAGCCCCAAAGGCCTGTGTCAATCACCTGGCCTGAACGGGAACATCGCTGTGGTCCATTCTGGGACCTGGATTTGTTGATTGCATTTCTCCAAGCTAAGGTTCCAGTCTTCAGGGGTACCTTCTGTAGGACAACAGTTTAATGCAATGTGTGCAGTGACAGTATCAGTCCCGTTTTATTGCATGATGTCTCCTCATAGAGAGGAGAAGGTAGAATCCGCAAGCTCCTGCTTCTATGATTTCATGGGAGAAGAAGCCAAGGCGAAAATGTAACACATGCCCAAAAGATAAAAAGGAGTTTCCAGGGATAAGCTAGTTTAAATCCAGATTTTTACAGGGAGGAAGGAGCATCTCTCATATTGCTAGGACAAGGTCCTGCTAAATTTACAGTATTAAACAGAAAAACACTTCACGAGGAATATTCGGATTTAATTCTGCCCCCAAATTCAAGACCAGTATGGAAGTACCTGCCAGATAGGTGTGCAGATGAAAAGCCACAGCAGTCACGTCTCAGGACATAGAAATTCTACCCTCAGTGACAACACTGGAAATCACTTTACAACCGCTGCTTCCATTCACCTGCTCCCACATCAGACAAACAAACAGAAACTGTTTTTACAGCTTCAGATTTTTAGGGCCCAATGACAGGCATTCAATGAAGGAAATAAAAAGAAACATGGACAATGGATGTTTTAAAAAGGTTTTTAACATCAGTCTGGAAAACAGAAACCTTAGTACAAGAGAGAGGCCATCTCTACCAACATTCTTTGATTGTATGTTATTTTTCATAATCAAAAGTTCAAGCTATTTCTTAATTTTTATCTCAAAACAAAATAATTATTAAAAAATTTTTTGAGCACAGCAAAAAAAAAAGAGAGAGAGAGAGAGAGAGAGAGGTCACTCCAGGATGGCACTTAGGGGCCTGGCTGTAGAGTCAGACAATCTAGTTTACGTTCCTTCTCCGACACTCCGCCGGTTAGTAAGAGCCGCCTGTGCCTCAGTTTTGTCTCGGCGTGTCTCCAGGACTCAAGTAAGCTGAGCATCATTCTTTGTCCTGTCAGTGGCAATGGGGCTGGAACCATGCCCTCTAGTACACTCTTGGTAGGAATGTAAGACTGAGGCCACTTTTTGGGGTGCTATTTGGAAATTGCTGTCAAAACTCAAACACTACATTCCTTGACTGAATCCTTCACCATGTGTCATGCACCATCTCGAACAGAGACAAATGTGTTCTAAGATTGCATATTTCATTTTCTGTGGCAGACAAAACAAAACAAACCCAAATAACCTGTAGACAGCAGACATGTCCCTTAATAAGAGTTTCAGAAAATGATATTATAAGGCTGGCCAAGGAAGAAAGTAGATACATAAACACTCGCATAGAAAGATGGCCGAGATGAAAGGGAAAAAGGCAAGTTGACAAATAGCAGGCATAAGTTTGGTGTTTCTTTAAAAAAAAAATTTTTTTTTAGGCCGGGCACAGTGGTTTGCACCTGTAATCGCAGCACTTTGGGAGGCTGAGGTGGGCAGATCACAAGATCAGGGGTTCAAGAACAGCCTGGCCAACATAATGAAACCCTATCTCTACTAAAAACACAAAATTAGTCAGGGGTAGTGGTACATGTCTGTAGTTCCAGCTACTTGGGAGGCTGAGGCAAGAGAATCACTTGAACCCAGAGACAGAGGTTTCAGTGAACCAAGACTGCACCATTGCATTCCAGCCTGGGCAACAAGAGGAAAACTCCATCTTAAAAAATATATATTTTATATATAAATACATATAAACTATATATATGTCATTTTTACGTGTGTGTGTGTGTATGTGAGTGAGTTTTGAGACAAGGTCTCACTGTGTTGCCCCAGCTGGAATGCAATGGCATGATCTTGGCTCACTGCAGCCTTGACCTCCCCAGGCTCAGGTGATCCTCCCACTTGAGCCTTGCAAGCAGCTGGGTCTACAGGCAATGTGTGCTAATTTTTTGTAGAGATGGGGGTCTTGCCATTTTGTCCAAGCTAGTCTCAAACTCCTGAGCTCAAGCAATCTACCTGCCTTGGCCTCCAAAATGCTGGGATTGTAGGTGTGAGCCACTGTGCCCAGCCTGGCATTTTTCTAATGTGTATAAATCCATAACCTTTATACATGCATATATAATTTCTAGAAAACCTACAAAAGAAACTAACAATTATTATTAACACAATAGATTAAGGATGTGGGACTTTATCGAGGACCTGGCTTGTCCTATTGTACATCTTAGAAGCACTTTGAATTTTTTGCCATGAACACATTTAACCTGATCAATTAAAGTATTTCAAAGTATACTTAGCTGGCAGGGGAGATACCATGATCCTGAAGGTGGTTTTCCCAGGGTGAGGCTTATCCATTGTACTCTGGATATACTGACCCCTGAGATTTCCCCAAACGTGGGAAACTTGACTGCATCATTTGTGGTAGTGGGGGACTGCGTTCGTGCTTTTCCCTGGCTTTAAAAAAAAAAGGAAAAAGGGAAGAAAGAAAAAAAGTATTTAAAAGTAGTTTAAAAATTAAAATTAAAAATAATCCTAGCCAGCATTGCAGTATATAACAAAACAATTCTAAATCATTATTTTAAGAAAAATCAGATCAAAGACTCATTTTCATCATCATCAACAACAAAACCGAAGAAAGCATCTGACTGGCTCTGCTGGCCCCAATATTGGAAGGAATTTCTCTGCATGCTGGAGGATTCCTCTGCTCAGTGGGTGCAGTGAAACTGAGAACGTTCATACCATTATCCTTATCACCACATGCAAAACAAAATATTTTTGTCATTGATCTGAATTCTATGGAACTCATGTTTGTGCTCTTAACCTTTTGGAATCCTGGGGAACAATCACTTTATGCTTCAATAGTCAGTGGTCTTATTCATGCGTATTATAGGAATATGACATTATGAGGAGTACCGATATCAGTTAGGAGTGACACTCTTCTACTTGCTAAACTAACCAAAAAGATTGTTGATATTTAAATAAATGTGTGTGTGCATGCCTGTGTGTGTGTATATAAAACAAAATGTTTCAATGGATAGCTATCAATATATTTCTTTTCTAGATGCATAAATGGAGATGCCCTTCTGCTCTCATGAAGGCCGTTTTCATTAAGTTAAGCTTTGTTTAAAAAAGATAATGCTTTACTGGTGATCTGGGGGGGGCAGGGGGAGAAGAAAAAAAAGAACTCTTAATTTTAATCTTATTTAGCCTGAAAGCATGTGTCCCAGTATTAGAGCATGGCCGGAGTAGTTTTCAAAAGGGTTACATCATCGCATGTACTTTATTCCTTATTCTTACTCCACTGTGCTTTACTTGGCAGATTGGATCTGTACTGAAGTTGCATCTTAACAGGAGATTCCTAGAGAGTCTAACAGCTAAACTCTTAGAAGCGTAACTACTTTTTAATATGTGGGTCAGGGTTAAGAGCCTCAGGCAAGGGCTTCTGCTCTCTTTTGTTAGGGATTTGCCTTGGGGATGAACTAGGAAACTTCAGGAGGCTCATCCAGGCAGGTCCCAGATAGCTCAAATTGCAAAGCTACCTGAAAGCCACTGTGTTTCCACAGTCCTGTGAGTAAAACACCTATTGGCAATGGGGGTAGGGAAGTGTCCTGTCTCTCCTAGTTCCCCAGAGAAGCATAAAAATGATGTATTATATACTGTCTCAGGGACATTTTGGTGCCAACCCGCTTGGCACAGCATAGAATCCTCCTGTCACCTCATGGATTGTATCATGACAGAAGGGTAATTGGGCACCGGAGAAGATGTCAGCAGAGTGTCAATACGGTTTGACCACTGCCCCCAAATAATATTGATGGTAGCAAAGAGAGAGATTAATCAGGTGTGATCCTGTCAAATGTTCAGGGTGTGCTGTGGGTTCTAGAAATAGATACAGGCTACCAACAAAATGTGAAATGGACTTAAACAAAAGAGATGATTTAGTCATTTTGAGAAAAGCCGAACTAAGATCCAAAAGAGCTTTTTATTCCTGAAAAAGCACAGTGGATATTCTATTAGCATTTCTCTCCAAGTGCTGTTATGTTTTCTGAAAAAAAAAAAACAAAAATGCATTCTGCCAAAAAATCAGTCATGGAGAAAAGGATCAAATTCAAAGGGATGTCACCAAATCTAAAGAAACGTGCAGATGAAGCGATTGTGCAGCATGTTCTAATTGTGGACCTGTTTGTTTACTCTGTGTCCCACTGAAAATTCCAATTCCAGACACCCGGAGCTCATCCTCACACCCTCCCTACCAGGCCAGCCACCTCCTCTTATTACCCTCTCTTGATATTAATGATGCTCCCCCACTTGAAATTTCCCACATGTAAAACCCCATTGCCTTATGTACTATCCGTTGGTCGCCGTTTTCCTTACATGGATTCTGCCTCACCTGGGCCTTTCGCAGACACCTGACCGTCTGCGACCACTGCCTTTCTCCTAGTTCTAAATCTAAGCAATGGCATTGCAACAATCTCCCAAAATAACTTCCAGCCTTAAAAAGCTCTTATCCTACAACTTTGTCTATAACTGTGGCTATCACTGGCTTCGCATTAGAATAACCTGGAAAGCTAGAACTGTTCCTTATCATTAGTTCCTGCCTCAGACTAATTAAAGCCTCTGGGGATCACTTTTGACCGTCTTTGATTTTGCAGTTTCCTGAGGTTTCTTGTATAGCAAACGTGAAAAACTACGGACGTCAGGCTAGGTTAAGCTGCATATCACAGACAAATAAATAAACAAGAGTGCTTAAACAAGATGAAAGTTAGTTCCCATGCATGTAAAACAAGCCAGGCACCTTCCAGCTCTCTGTTCTGGCATTATTCAGAGTTGACATCCTCCTCAGGATCCAACATGGCTTCTAGAGCTCCAGCCATTACGTTTCCATTCCAGGCAAAAGGTAGAAACGGGAGGAAAGAGAGCGTGCCTTTTCCTCCCAAAAATGACTTTACATACCACTTCCATTTATCTATCATTGGCTGGAACTTCAGTGAACCACAACTAGCAGCAAGGTTGACTGGGTTCTGTAGCCTTTAACTGGGCATGAATATGCCTTACTAAAAAGGGTACTGTTACCAAGGAAGAAGAGGAAAATGAGCATTAAGAGGCAACTAACAGCCTCTGTGGGAAGTGCTAATTCCTCAAAGGGGCCCTGCTAATATCCTGTTCACACCTACAGTAGGTCCCTGTGATCTCCAGGATAAAGGAGATCAGAACTGCCAGACTCCTGCAGTGACTAGGCAGTTCCAGAGTCCCTCCCGACCTTGCATTCTCTGCTTTACCTCACTCACACTGTGGCCGTTCTAAGAATATTTGTATTTTCTCATTGCTGGTCCTTTACCTATGCCTAAAATAACTCTTCACATATCTGTGTTTTCAACATCACCTACTTCTGCAGAACCAGCTCCAATTCTCCTTCCCAAGGAAACCTCCCTGCCTTTGCCCATACCCCTAATGTCTAGCAAAAGTCCATGCATTACGGTCTTACTTCCTGAGGGTCTCAAAGCAAATTACATTTATTTTAAAGTTATTTTCTGTCTTATCTGCAATTATATCCCTGGATATCTGACTTCTCTCTCAAATTACAGGCTTCAGGAGGTCAAGCACCATGCCTCCTGTGTATTATAAGTCATTCGTGCCTGTCACTTAGCAGCTACTCAACATCAATTTGCAATTTAAGCCAAATCTGTAGCACTTTAGAGAATCAGTTTTTGTGTGTATTTATAAACTTTCTTTTTGCATTGAGTCATAAACCCACATAGATATACACTCATCTCTGCTTTTGCCTTCATAGATGGTTTTAGTTCACACAGCAAAAATTGGAAAGTTACTTTATACTCAATAGTGGGGTAAATCATCCAAGTCAGGTTTTAAAAAGATAACAGATGTGTACTAACATGTATCTCTATACTCACATAGACATTGACATGTGTATACATGTATATTACATGTACATCCTACATTACTCAATGTGATGTATAATAACTTTATTAATTTTTTTGGAAGCATGCTAGTTGTCTCAGGCTAATTTAATGCCTGGTATTAAGGTGAAATAAATTATTGTCTTTTTTCATCAGGACTAGATGAGGAGAAAACAAACAAAAAACAACTATTTTTATGCAGGAGGAAAAAATTCTGAAGGCGGAAATACAGGATGTTTGGAAAATTTTTGGAACCGAGCATCTGTGAGGATATTTACCTGCCTGTCCCCGTCAGCCCTGCGAAGGGTGTATCTCTGCCTTAGGTTAATATATTAGGCAGAATAACGGTCCCCAAGATGTTCACATTTTAATTCCCAAAACCTGTGAATGTCTTATTTCACATGGCAGAAGGGACTTCGCAGATGTAGTTCAGGGTACAGACTCTGAGAAGGGAAGATCACCCTGGACTATCAGGGTGTGCCAATCTAAGCACATGACTTCTTAAAAGTGGGAAAAGACACTTTTCTGGCTGTGATCAGAAAGAAATGTGATGACAGAAGAAGGCTCAGAGAAATGCTGTAATTGCTGGCTTTGAAGGTGGAGGAAGAAATCCACGAACTAAGACATAAAGGCATCCTATAGAGGCTGAAAGAGACAAGGAAATTGACTCTCACAGAGGCTCCAGAAAGGTACATAGCTCTGACAACACCTTGATCTTAATCAAGCCAGACCCATGGTGTGAATTCTAACATACAGAACCATGATAATACATTTGTGAGGTTTTGTTTTTGTTTTGAGATGGATCTCACTGTGTCACCCAAGCTGGAGTGCAGTGGCACACTCATAAACCGCTGCAGCCTCAACCTCCCTGGACTCAGATGATCCTCCCACATCAGCCTCCTGAGTAGCTAGGACTATAAGCATGTGCCACCATGCCTGGCTAATTTTTCTATTTTTTGTGTTTTTCTCCATGTTACTCAGGCCAGTCTGGAGCTCCTGGGCTCAAGTGATTTGCCCACCCTAGCCTCCCAAACTGCTGGGATTACAGGCATGAGCCACCATGTCCTGCCACATTTGTGTTATTTTAAGCCACTTCATTGGTGATAATTTGCTAGGCAGCAATAAAAATTGTTTCCTTTCTACTGTGGTGATCAAAAAGACCCCGTAAAACTTTATTTTTCCTTTCACGATGGCATAGAGTGAAAGTTCATTGGTTGAATAGCTTTGCAGAAACCTTAAAAAATATGAGAGTTTAAAAAAAAACGAGTCTCCAGCCAGTGAGGAGGGTGTGCTCATCTTCCTTCAATGATGAGCAGCTCTACCAGTGAGCACTGGTTGTCTGTGCCTACCTCTGATCAGGTCTCCTTCAGACAGATGATTACGTAGTAGTTGGAAGGACGTTTTTAACCCTCAGAAACATTCGTATATACATCCAATCACTCAGGTCGTGTCTGAGTCCCTACTCTATATCAGGCACAGTCAGACTATCTAGCGGTCCTTGGAAACACAGCGTGGGTGAGTAGTTTTAAGTCATATGC